CACACACACACAAACTCACACACACACACACACACACAAACACACACACACACACACACACACAAACTCACACACACACACATCACTGACCGTTAGCACGCCACAATTATAGTCACTCTACGTGGAAATGAATCACACGCTGAAACTTCAGCTACTGAATGTGTTTCGGACAGAGTAGTTCGGGAGGACTGAGGTCATTGACTGAAACTCTGATATGAATTTGAACACACATTAGACATTTCTATCATGAAATTCAATCCCTTAATGTCCCGCAATGATTGGATGTCATGTTAATGCTGGCGTCGCTCACAGTCGTTGCTGTCTTTGTTGCGGTGCAGTTTTGACTGTGCGATGCAGGCTCTGAAGAACACGGCCACAAACACTGCGGACGAGCTGGCGGAGGTGTTCACGGAGATGAGAGCGCACCTGTACCTGTACTCCGGGATGCTGCTGCTGAAGAAGGCACAGGACGGGGCGCAGCAGTGGAGGGCTATGCTGGATCTGGCCGCTCTCTGTTATCTCGTATCTTATCAGGTACACTGCTTTCTCTTCCTCACGCACTCGTGACGTCTGATCCTCCACCTTACAGTGTCTCATCCGCTTCTCCCGCAGGCTCCGAGACCCAAAGCCAGGAGCTTCAAGAGTGAGCAGGCGTCCCATGAGCCTCTGGAGCTGCTGGCCTGTGATCGTCAGAGTCAGGCGGGTCACATGCTGCTGAACCTGAGCCGGGACGTGGAGCAGCTGCTGAAGGATGTGGTGGAGGCCTTCGGGAACCGGAGCGGCACGGGCCGTCTGTTTGACCAGCTGTTCAGTGCACAGACGCAGGAGCAGCTCTCCTTCATCTGCAACGATGATATTCATGTCCTCAGCGTACATGTGCCCAAAGCCGTGGATCTGGCCAAGTGTGACAGCGGTGAGTGTCAGACAGGAGTGCCAGTGAGTGTGTGTTGGGTCTGCTGTAGATGCTGATGCAGTGTGTGTGTGCGTGTGTGTCTGTGCGTGTGTCTCACTGTGTGTGTGTGTGTGTGTGTGCGTGTGTCTCTCTGTGTGTGTGTGTGTGTGTGTCACAGGAGCGGTGCTGCTGCACGCGGGTGATCTGCAGCAGCTGGCGTGGCTCGGTCTGCAGTGGGCGCTCATGGGTCAAAGCGTGAGTCTGCAGGACTGGCTGAAGCAGCTCTTCCCTCGCCTCACGCTCGAGACCTCCAAACTGGAATATTATAGTACAGTACCAGTCAAAAGTTTGGACACTTTCCCATTCGTGTGTCCAAACAGAATATAACAGGATATATATACATAAACATTTTTTGCAATGATCACTCAGATGTGGTGATCAAACACTTAGATGCAGTGTGTGTGTGCGTGTGTGTCTGTGCGTGTGTCTCACTGTGTGTGTGTGTGTGTGTGTGTGCGTGTGTCTCTCTGTGTGTGTGTGTGTGTGTGTCACAGGAGCGGTGCTGCTGCACGCGGGTGATCTGCAGCAGCTGGCGTGGCTCGGTCTGCAGTGGGCGCTCATGGGTCAAAGCGTGAGTCTGCAGGACTGGCTCAAGCAGCTCTTCCCTCGCCTCACGCTCGAGACCTCCAAACTGGACACCAACGCGCCGGAATCCATCTGCCTGCTGGACCTGGAGGTGCGTTCACTGCCTCAGCAAATCTGAATGAGACACGTTAATCCACAGAGGAAGATGTCAGGAACAGGGTCTAAGCAGAGCTTTATTTATGACTGATGATTGTGTCAGACTGATGCTGTAGGTGACGGAGCTTTTCTGAAATACTTTCTTGTAATTAATACTAGAGCCCGACCGATATGGGTTTTTGGGGGCCGATACTGACACTAGGGAGTAAAAACACGCCGATATCGATATATCGGCCGATATTCTTTGTGTATATTATAGTACAGTACCAGTCAAAAGTTTGGACACTTTCCCATTCGTGTGTCCAAACAGAATATAACAGGATATATATACATAAACATTTTTTGCAATGATCACTCAGATGTGGTGATCGAAGTCCACTTCGCAGGGCACTTACGGTCGAATAAGACCACGCTTGAATGCTGCCTGAACAAGAGACCTCCTTATTGAAGTGAAAGTGTTGGCTGGTGTCACTATCTCATGAACGCGGCGGTGAATCTCCAACAAATTCGGGGGATCCCTTCAGCTCGAGGAGCCCTCTCGAACGCCACCCTCCGCGCATCGGTAGCCCCCCGGGATCGCCAGATCGGTCGGCGCCCAGCCGCGAATTTAACCGCCCGTAACTCCCGAACCACGGGGGCTATCGACGCGGTGGTGGTCTCAGTCGAAAGGGGGCCTCGAGACGTACACTCGATTCGGCGTTCGAGAGGGTTCCTCGAGCTGAAGGGATCCCCCGAATTTGGTGCAGATCCGCCGCGCCGTTACGGAGATATGGCCGTTCAAAGTTTCCATGGTATTCCATACACTTAAGCTTTAAAGCGTTTCATCCAGGTCGCCAGTAGCAGACAATGGAGCTCAGTCTGCTTATTCTGCCCTCGTTAAAGAGTTCCCCTTCTTAAACTAGGCAGACAGATAACTCCTTCCACAGGGACGTCGAATTGAAGCATGATTTATTATGACCACCTCTTCAAATATAAGTGGAACAGAGTAAAAAGACAAAGCTTCTTTAAATGATTGCAAAGATGATGAAAATAGCTGCTTTAACCGTGTGACTATCAGCATCAACTGAGTAAAACAAGATGGCTGCTATTAAGGTCAGAGGTTACTGTCGAATCATATAGAATAGCACCACCTAGTGGCTCAAAAATTAAACTACACTAAACTAAACTACACTGGAAACAGTACACTGCTGGACAAACTACGTAATTACACCATTTACAAGCATTTTATCTGCATTTTATGTTCTGTAAAAAAAATCGGTGGCATATCGGCGGCATATTCGCCGATACCGATATATCTGCGACAGGCTCATATCGGCCAATAAAATTTATTATGACCACCTCTTCAAATATAAGTGGAACAGAGTAAAAAGACAAAGCTTCTTTAAATGATTGCAAAGATGATGAAAATAGCTGCTTTAACCGTGTGACTATCAGCATCAACTGAGTAAAACAAGATGGCTGCTATTAAGGTCAGAGGTTACTGTCGAATCATATAGAATAGCACCACCTAGTGGCTCAAAAATTAAACTACACTAAACTAAACTACACTGGAAACAGTACACTGCTGGACAAACTACGTAATTACACCATTTACAAGCATTTTATCTGCATTTTATGTTCTGTAAAAAAAATCGGTGGCATATCGGCGGCATATTCGCCGATACCGATATATCTGCGACAGGCTCATATCGGCCAATAAAATCGGCAAAACGAAATATCGGTCGGGCTCTAATTAATACGGTAATTTAAAGGGATAGTTCAGCCAAAAGCCCTCAGGCCATCCAAGATATAGGTGACTTTTTTTCTTTTTTTCCAGCAGAACAGTAATGGAGATTTTTAGCTGAAACCGTGCTCCTTGGTGGTTCATAGAAGGCAAGTCAGTGGCTGCCCGTTTTTGAGAATAAAAAAAGCATGACAGGCGACACAAAATGAATCCCCGTGGCTCCTGATGAAATATTGAGGTCTTATGAAGCAAAACGATCGGTCTGTGCACAAACTAGTTCTTGCTGACAGTTTGATTCAGTGAACTGGTTCAAATAACCGTAGCCATGCAATGATGTCACATGTATGCAATTATATTATTAAAATGTTAAACAAATTATTTCTAAAGCATATAAAATGAATAAACTAGTCTTAATCAACTCACCTTTTTACATAGACTGCAGGGCTCGCAAAATGTCAAAATCCCTGGCAGTCCTTTGGGCAGGCTTTCTTCAGATTTTGGTAGCTCAAAATGAATGTAACTAGCCCGAATAAAAAAAGACATTGGCTGAACTTCTCTGAGGACAAATCAGCATGATCAAAAACGTCAGAGATTGTATTTTTCTTCAAATAACGAGTCGAGAGAGTAGATGTGCAACGGATCACAAACTCACGGTTCGGATCATATTAAGGATTTTAAGTCACAGATCTGATAATTTTTTATATGAGCAAAAAAATGGTTCTTTATTATTCAAAGAACACTTTCAGGGTTCGTACGGTCATGAAAAACCTGGAAAAGTCATGGAATTTTAAAACCGCAATTTCCAGGCCTGGAAAAGTTTTGGAAAAATAAATAAACCCAGGAAGTTTTGGAAAAGTCATTGAAATCTATTTCCCAAATCTCTGTATAATAGAATTATGTTGAATCAGGTCCTGAATTTCGGTGCGGGATTGCGCATAGGCTATATCGCATACCGCAGCTTTTGACTTTAAAATGATGGATAATCACACATTTATTCAGTAGCCTATATCATGTATGTTTGATGAGTAAATAAATCCACACGGACTATCAGATCAAATCAGTCTTTTAAAAATGATTCAGCTGTACCTCTCTCTTTGACTTTCTCTTAAAACGGCTTCACATCGGCACATCTTGTCTGCATTTTCGTTTCTTTATTAAGTGAATTTGGAAATATGTTTGGAACATTTTTTGTTTGTTAGATTCACGTTTTTGTTTTTAAAGTAGCCTAACGACCAAGCGGCCTGCGGCAGACAGTGAGTTAGCCCATGTTTGATCAATTTAGCCTTCTCAAATCATCACCACTTGACTAAAATTAAATCTATATATAAAATACTTAAAAAAGCACATCACAATGTTAGTTTAAACGGTTAACCTAGATAAATGTGTGCTATATTAGGCGTGAATCCAATCATTTGTGCGCTGGACAGAAACACAAATATACACTGGATAGTTTGCACTCACGGATCGGCGCCTGTGAACAAAACTAATAAAGGTAAACTTTTTTAAAGACAAGTGAACTGTCAGTAATAAAATAAGAGCAAATAAACAAATTACAAGCACAGATAAATAAAATAGAACAACGTTACAAATGAAATAAGATCTAACGTTGTTTCTTCCCTGTTTATGTTCACTTGAGGCATAACCGACTGTTTACAAGAACGCTTGCCCAGGCACTTATTTTAAGATCGTTTTGTGTGAATGTGTTCAAGCGAAAGAGGAATCAGTTCTGTGTTTGTGTGCTGTCTGAAACGCTGCTCTTGAATGAGTGCACACGAGCACCGGATTGCATTCTCTTTCACCTCTTCATGTGCTTGAGTGGATTAAAAAGTTTCAATTGGCAACACGTGTGAATGATCCGCTACGATCCGGCTCACCCCACAAGCGAATCTTATATCACTAATCTAGATAGGTTAGAAACTTTAACTTTAGTTTGGTTTTGTTAGATTTCAATATGTCGTCAAGAGTCAGGGCTATTAATTTTGCGTTGCCTATAAATGTGTTCTGACTCTCAAGTGACGGCAGCCATTGACTTGCATTTTATGAATCACCAAGGAAGCACGGTTTCATCTACAAATCTTCTGTACTGTTCCAGTGAGTGCTCCAGAGGCTGAGTACAGTAACAGCACATTTTCCTTGGTGGGTGAACTGTCCCTTTAATATCTATAACGGTGTCATTCTGTAAAGCTCTAGCTAGCATGCAGGATTGTCCTAGACACTTCAACAATCTGGCTGATCTGTTATCCAGAACTGTAGCTTCATTTGTCAAGTCACGTGTGTTTCAGTAGCACTTTACACAAAGCAGCTTCACACAGAAGCAGGAAAATAACATGATCAGTGATGCAAACGTAATCAAACAGGAAAGCAGCTCTACAGAAGACTATAGTGTCATCATTCAGCTCAGTTTAGTTTTTGTTCTCATCTGTGCGGTCAAATCAGTATATTAATGTGTCTTTTAAAGCCCAGCAGAGCAGGTGAAGGCTCTCTGACTGCACGAGGACACAGTCCCGCACACTGGTGTCCTGTGATGAGCAGCGTCTCGGTGCTGAAGGCCTCTGTGTGTGTGTTGCAGGTGTTCGTGTGCGGCGTGGTGTTCTGCAGTCAGGCGCAGCTGCAGGAGCGGGGGAAGATGGCCTGCTCTCAGCCGCACGAGCCGCGCTGTCTGCCGCTGCACATCATGAAGCTGCTGTCGTCTGACAGACAGAGAGAGTGGTGGGATGCTGTCTACAGCCTGATTCACAAGAGAGCGCAGTGAGTGACTCCTCCTGTGTGTGTGTGTGTGTGTGTGTGTGTGACGTCATGTGTTCCTGACTGCAGTGTGTGTGTGTGTGTCTCAGGCCCGGGACGTCTGCTAAACTGCGTCTGCTCGTTCAGCACGGTCTGGGCACTCTGCGCGCCGGAGAGAAACACGGCCTGCAGCCGGCGCTGCTCATGCACTGGGCTAAACATCTGACTGACGCGGTACGTCCTGACCACCTGCACCTCATACAGATCATTCCTCACACAGTGTGGGTTCGTGTGCGGCGTGGTGTTCTGCAGTCAGGCGCAGCTGCAGGAGCGGGGGAAGATGGCCTGCTCTCAGCCGCACGAGCCGCGCTGTCTGCCGCTGCACATCATGAAGCTGCTGTCGTCTGACAGACAGAGAGAGTGGTGGGATGCTGTCTACAGCCTGATTCACAAGAGAGCGCAGTGAGTGACTCCTCCTGTGTGTGTGTGTGTGTGTGTGTGTGTGACGTCATGTGTTCCTGACTGCAGTGTGTGTGTGTGTGTCTCAGGCCCGGGACGTCTGCTAAACTGCGTCTGCTCGTGCAGCACGGTCTGGGCACTCTGCGCGCCGGAGAGAAACACGGCCTGCAGCCGGCGCTGCTCATGCACTGGGCTAAACATCTGATTGACGCGGTACGTCCTGACCACCTGCACCTCATACAGATCATTCCTCACACAGTGTGGCTGTAAAAGCTCATGCAGTCTGCTGAGGGAAGGAGTTATCATTGGGTTCACATGTATTCATATACTTCAGCTCTTTTGGCCACATCTTAGAGTGCTAGTAACACTTTCTGCAACAGTTTCTCTTTCTTTAAAAAGTCTTGCCCTCCACAAATTAAGTTTGCATGCACTCCTTCATCACTGTTTTTGTCTTGCTTTCCAACACAAATATCTACACATCCTTAAATCAAGATACTTTTACTTGAGATGTAATGTACCGTATTGGCCCGAATATAAGACGACCCTGATTATAAGACGACCCCCCTTTTTCCAGATGTACCTTTTGGAAAAAGGCTTTTTAAAAACCAAATCTTGTTTTTTCTCAGTTAAACACATTTTGTCTTCAATTATTTTCATATTGCATATTTTTCCTATTTTAATTTTTGTTTTGAAAGTATGGTAAAAACTGGTAAAATGTACCAACAATCACATTTTAAAAATATACACTTTTTGATATACCATAAAAAAAAAAAAAAAACTGGTAGCCCATCTGAATTAGGACATTAGGGGCTATCCATCTAATAGTAGCCTACCAACATCTTATTAACAGTAGAAGTTAAATCTTACTGTAGTCTTCAAATCTGGGTACTGTCTTACGTTTTAAAATCACAAAGGGAGTTTGGTCCCATCAGGGTAACGTGACAGTCACGACTCGTGCAGCTGTAAGGTTTTCTTTTTCTTTTGTTTTACTCGCGATCTTTACAACACGCATTACATTACGTATTTCATGGCACACTCGTTTTATGCGTATTTGGCGCCACCTAGTGTTGTGGGTGTATTATTGACATGTCAAAGTCTAGACCCTGAATATAAGACGACCGCGTTTTTTCAGATGTATTTCCAAGAAAAAAACATTGTCTTATATTCGGGACAATACGGTAAAATGAAGTCTTGAGAAATTGAACAAAACTAAGTGAGTTTATGATAAAACAAGAACAAATATGTCAATGAAATTAAAATGTTTTCCCTTTGATTTAAGTGGGTTTCTTCTGAGCCCATAGGAGATATTTGTGCATAAACTCTCTTCATTTTGAGCTAATTTTCTAGAAAACAAGACTTCTTCCTTTATGTAACTTCCCTTCTCAAGGAAAAGTGTCTTAATTTAAGAATCTTTAGACATTTGCACTGAAAAACAAGACAAAAAAACAGAGGAAGAACTTTTTTCTCTCTCTCTGTGATCAGAAGAAAGGTAATTTCTATATTCTGGTGACTGTGAGCAGAGCTATTTAAACCTAAAGCTTTTTTTGTAAAATGGATTAAAAAGTAATGGAGATTTGTTGGAAGTATTTTCCAGTTTAAAATGTTGCTAATACCTCTCATTGTGTTTGTCCAAGGATTTACATTTAACAAACATTGACACATTGTTCCCTTCAGATTATTCCTTTCATTTCCTTTACTTGGTCTTAAGAAGAACTTGAGGTGTTAAATGTGCCTTCTGTCTGTGTGTGTGTCTGTGTGAACTGTTTGGAAACGGAGCGTAAATGTGGAAGTCCTTCAAAGATTTCTTATCCTGTTGCGCCCTCTATAGGACCAGCGACTAGTCGACGTCAAGCTTAAAGCGTCATGGCAGAGCATTGAAGTCGATTAGTCGGTGCAACCCCTAATATATACACCGGTCTGCTTGCATATGGAGGAGTGTGCGATACACCGATTGAAAGAAGGTTGTAGTCAAATGTTTTGAAAGTGTATCAAATTTTTGATCATTGCTACTTAGGAAATTGTCTTGAGGACTGTTGCTTTTTCATCAGTGTTTGTAATCACATTTCCATAATGTGTCTATATATTGTGTTTTTGTTTTGTTTGTTTTTTTGTGATCAGCCACGGTTTTAAGAATATTGTGACACAAATCTTTGCTCATGGTCACCGCTGGCATGTCTGTCTGTGTGTTTGTGAAGTTACCGGTGTCTATGGAGGAGGTGATGGATTTGTTGAATGAGGTCACCCAGCAGCTTGAAGATGTTGGTGAGATGTGTGAAGATCGGGTGGACTATCCTGTGACATCCAGCCCCGGGCAGCCCGCTGAAGGCCATGTCAGATTCTCCACTCCTTCCCCATCCAAGAGTGTGACGTCTCCGTCCAAAAGATCTGTGGTACGTCACGGCTCAGGTGTTTGTGCTCAGACTCTGTGTGCTGTTTACCGCTGCTGATTGTCTCTGTCTCCCTCCTGCAGTTCTCCCCCAAAACACCTCCTCACTGGGTGGAGGACCAGAAGTCACTGCTGCAGATGTTATGCCAGCAGGTCGAGGCCTTGAAGGTCAGTCAGACACCGACAGCTGCAGAAGAATCCATCACTTTCTTTGCTTTTGCTTCGGCACCGTGTGAATTTACCTTCTGAGCGTTATTTTGATTGTTTTATCTGTGGTTTTCTGTTCTGCATGTCAAAAGTTATTCAAAAAGGCATTGTTTAATTGTGGAGCGAAGAGCACAGAGAGATTGAACAGTTTGAGCAAGAGCGCTGTAGACTTGAGTCCACGCTCCCAGTTCAGAGCCAGACTGCAGGACGTTTGCTTGCACTAATGCACACAAGCTTAAACTGAGATTGAGTTCAGCAGCACATCTCACTACTACAGGTCAGCAGCGATATCAGTTTTACTGATCCATCGACACAAAGATGCTTTCTGAATCCAGTGCTTATCGTAAGAAAAAAACAACGCTGATCGCTAGAATGTTAGACTCGTGGTGCTGTTCATAAGACTATAAATGAAAACGCTTCATAATGACTGAAGCTCACTCACTTCATTTCAGCGTGAGTTCACTCTTGCCAGAACTCCTGTTATTATTGAAACTAATGCACTCAACCTCTTGCTCACATCATGTCTTTGTGCAGAAGCGCACTGAACACAGTTTGATGAACGGTTGATGAACTTAACTGCCTCTGATTGGCTGTTGCGTTCTTGTGCTCAACAGACATGTCTGTGATTGGCTGCAGTGCTCAATGCTGCAAAACACATTGTAAATGGAAACCATTACACTTATAAATACACGCAGGAGTGTTTGAAAGCAGCCGGCTGTCAGCGGCAGCCAAACTGAGTCTGTATATAGTCCAATAATGCAGAAACACTGGTATCAGCACATTTTAATGATTTCACAATCACCTGACAACACTAGCTAAAGCTTTAAAAAGCATAGTTACCTTTCTGACTGTTTTTTATGTCTTCTGTTGAATAATCCATGTTTTTATCACTTTAAGATGTACCAAGATGTATCGTTTAGAGAGGACTCAGTGGAATATATGCACATAAACGTGCTGGATGGTGTTTGAAGTGCTGAAGTAGATGAAATGTGAACATAAAGCCTTTAAACACACACTGCACTGATCGATCTCATGCACCAGCCAGTGCTGTGATTGGATTAGCGCTCATGAATGACTCTGTTCTGATCTTATACTACACGTCACATCAACTTATGTGTGATGTGAAACCTTTTTCAATTATCTGCAAATGAAATAGTCACACTGACCAAAGGAAAAATAAAACCTTGCTTTGTTTGGTGAACATTTTCATCAAACATTCTCTGTCAGTGTGAAAAGGGTCAGGTACCAGCTGAGAACAAGTGTTTTGGAAACTCATTTTTGATGTTTTATTTTTCGTCTCACGCAGAATGAGGTTCATGACCTGCGCCATAACTCTTCAGATGCCACGCCATCCTCGTATAGGATGCATAGAGACAATTATGCTGCAGAAGGACTTCAGGAAACATTTCCTGCGGCGCAGACACTCCACGGTGTTCCTCTCACTGGTCAGTTCAATGACTTCCCCAAATCAGCAGTCTTTGATTGAAATTGTAAGTGTATGCTAGTGGTTCTCAAAGTGTCCCCCCCAAGTCTTGTTCACTTTCAACATTCAAATATACAGACGATACGCAACAGTAGACGTGAGAAACAATGAGGCTTGTGCAGGTTCTTTCCTCTATGTATGTGCTTTGCTTATGCAAACAGACTAATGCTCTTGCATGCACACCAGATTCAAATGGGGAAGGACAAGATTTTGTGTGAGTGTGACTTTACAATCTGTTTTTCACAACTCGAATCATATGGATTTGCCCAGAGTAAAAATCTTGTAATTTTTAATCACTATCACTTTTGTTTTTTGGAGGTGGGGGATCCAGCATATAATTCACAGTATCTTCTGCACACCGCTGCGAATGTCACACCAACAAAGGTACTGGAGGGATTTTCATGTAAACACAAAATATTCTACCCTACAGTAATGAAGCCGAGAATCTATATCAAAGTATTGTTTGTTTGCCTCTGCAGGGCCCAGTATATGGGATGAATCGTCTTCCTCCACAGCAGCATATGTATGCCTACCAACAATCAACACACACCCCACCTCTCCAGTCAACACCCGCATGCATGTATCCTCAAGAGCAAGTCTTCGGTCCTCCCATCCGCTTTGAGTCACCAGCTACATCCTTACTCTCCCCATACAGTGAGGAGTATTACGGTCACAATGTTCCTCAGCCCACAGTCAATCCAACATTGCCAGAGCCTGGATATTTCACTAAGCCATGTGCCGTTACATCCACACAGCCATCCAGGAGCACTGAAAGCAAGGCTGCTGATCCCAAGATGAGTTTTGGGCCGCAGCTCACAGGTGAACCTGCTAAGTTTCCCAACTTTGGAGCAGTATCTGCCGGCCCAACAACAACAGCATCAACTGCGTTCAAGTTCAACTCCAATTTCAAATCCAATGATGGCGATTTCACCTTCTCCTCTGCTCAGGAGAAAAATAGTGAAAGCCTCTTGGGACTTCTGACGTCAGATATTCCTCCCAAAGCAGAGGTACCGTCAGAACCAAATCATCAGGCCCCAGACCAGCCGCCTAGCCAGAGCGGAGTCTTTACTTTTGGGGGTAATGCCACAGAATTGTCATTCACTGATGGTGCTCAGAACAAAGTGAGTATTTTTGGCAACGCTGACCAAAGATGTAGTTTTACAAGTGGAACCAAGCCAACATTAGGGAATTCAGAGCCTCGGGAAGAGAAAAGTGGGGCGAGTGACAATGATAGCACCCATGTGCAAGAGGACGAGGATGGGCCTCATTTTGAGCCCATTGTGCCTCTACCTGATAAGGTCGACGTGAAAACTGGTGAGGAGGAGGAAGAGGAGATGTTCTGCAAGAGAGCAAAACTCTTCCGATTTGACTCGGAGTCTAAAGAATGGAAAGAGAGGGGCGTTGGCAGTATCAAAATCCTGAAGCACAAAACCTCCGGGAAGGTTCGTCTGTTGATGAGGAGGGAGCAGGTTCTGAAAATCTGCGCCAATCACTATATCACTGCCGACATGGCCCTCAAACCAAATGCTGGATCTGACAAATCCTGGGTGTGGTACGCTATGGACTATGCAGATGAAATGCCGAGGACTGAGCAGTTGGCCATTCGTTTTAAAACGGCAGACGAGGCGGCACTGTTTAAAGTTAAATTTGAGGAGGCTCAAAAATTCCTTTCGGAATCCCCACAAAGCCAACAGGCTGAAAAGGAAAGCGAAATTCCACAGCCTCAGGTTTCATCCAAAGAAGTGGATCTCAAAACCCGGTTTTCCAAGAAGGCGGGTGAATGGGACTGTGACATGTGCTGTGTAAGAAACGCTCCCACGTCTGCGGTATGCGTGGCCTGCAGCAGTGCAGCTCCTTCTACAGCACAGGTCAAACCTGTAGAGGAACCCAAAGCCTCTGGCCCTGAGGCTCCTCCTGCCAAATTGTTTTCTTTTGGACTTTCTGGAGATTCCGCTAAAAGCGCCACCAGCACTGATGTCAGCTCAAAGGGCTTCACATTTGGATCTCAAGCACCAGTTTCTTTTAAGTTTGGATCGAATGATAATGCCGTCACATCTGCTGGCTTTGGAGCTCAGGGAGGAGGCTCAAAAATTCCTTTCGGAATCCCCACAAAGCCAACAGGCTGAAAAGGAAAGCGAAATTCCACAGCCTCAGGTTTCATCCAAAGAAGTGGATCTCAAAACCCGGTTTTCCAAGAAGGCGGGTGAATGGGACTGTGACATGTGCTGTGTAAGAAACGCTCCCACGTCTGCGGTATGCGTGGCCTGCAGCAGTGCAGCTCCTTCTACAGCACAGGTCAAACCTGTAGAGGAACCCAAAGCCTCTGGCCCTGAGGCTCCTCCTGCCAAATTGTTTTCTTTTGGACTTTCTGGAGATTCCGCTAAAAGCGCCACCAGCACTGATGTCAGCTCAAAGGGCTTCATTTTTGGATCTCAAATACCAGTTTCTTTTAAGTTTGGATCGAATGATAATGCCGTCACATCTGCTGGCTTTGGAGCTCAGACTGAGAAGAAAACAATTCAGCCTGATGCACCACAACAAGAGAAAGTGTCAGCAGCTCCAGCAGTCCCATCTGGCACTGGATTTGGTGCTCAGTTTGCCAAGAAAGAGGGTCAGTGGGACTGTGACTCCTGCCTAGTGAGGAATGATGCCTCAGTAGCTGAATGCGTTTCTTGCCAAGCCCCCTGCAGCACTGAAAAAAGTAAAGCAACATCACAAGGTGGGCTAGCTGCCATGTTTGGTAAAAAAGATGGACAGTGGGACTGTGACACTTGCCTGGTAAGAAACGAAGGTTCGTCCAGCCATTGTGTTTCATGTCAGACAGCAAACCCAAATATGAAAAACAAGACCTCTGCTGCACCATCAAGTTCCTCTCTTGCCTTCAGTTTTGGTAGTTCTAGCAGCCAACCTGCTGCGACAGGATTTAAAGCCAACTTCAATCCAGGCACTGCTTCCTTTCAGTTCGGCACAAGTCAGGATAAAGCCTCCTCAGAAGGCTTCAAGTTTGAGTCCTCCACAACTGAGGCTGAAAAGTCATCAGGCAGTTCAAGTTTTCCCTTTTCCATGCCGGCGCCTGTTGGCGGATTTAAGTTTGGCATTGCAGAATCTGAGGCAAAACCATCAGATGAACAGTCCCAAAATGGATCTGCGTCTGACCTCCTCAAAAATATTGCTGAGCTTCACAAAGAGAAAGAGAAAGAGGCAGGCCCAAGTTCCTCAGAACAGTCTGTAGACGCTGATAGTCACGATAATAATCCCCTCTTTACTGGAAAGCCTAACGCCTTTAGTTTCGCTGACTTGGCGAAGTCACAAGGCAGTTTTCAGTTTGGCCAGAATGATCCCGCTTTCAAAGGCTTTGCAGGGGCTGGCGAGCAGCTCTTTACAGGAGTTCATTCCAGCTCCAAGGCCGACACCTCTGTCGATCAAGATGATGAAATGTACAAAACCGATGAGAATGACGATATTCAGTTTGAGCCCGTTGTTCAGATGCCGGAGAAGGTCGACCTTGTTACAGGCGAAGAAGATGAGAAAGTCTTGTATTCACAGCGTGTCAAACTCTTCAGATTTGATACGGAAACAAACCAATGGAAAGAAAGAGGAGTCGGCAACCTTAAACTGCTCAAGAATAACCAGAACGGGAGACTTCGAGTTCTTATGAGGAGAGACCAGGTGTTGAAAGTGTGTGCTAATCATTGGATCACAACCACAATGAACTTAAAGCCCCTCTCTGGCTCGGATCAAGCCTGGATGTGGATAGCCAGTGACTTCTCAGATGGAGATGCCAAATTAGAACAACTTGCTGCAAAATTAAAAACACCTGAGCTTGCAGAAGAGTTCAAGCTGAAATTCGAGGAGTGTCAGCGACTGCTTTTGGACATTCCTTTGCAGACGCCTCACAAGCTCGTGAACACTGGCAGAACAGCCCAGCTTATACAGAAAGCTGAAGAAATGAAATCTGGGCTTAAGGACCTCAAATCATTCTTGACTTGCCAAAACAAGGATGACGAAAGTGCCGATACAAGTCATAGTACCTCTGCAGTTGTAGTTAAGCTCGACTCTGAAAGCTCCATACCCACTTTAGAATGGGATAATTATGATTTGCGAGAGGAAACGCATGAGGACTGTGCCAGCTCCTCTGTGTGCAATACTCCTTTGCAGCCTGATCCAGTAGCTAAAAATTTATTCCGCTTTGGCGAATCGTCCACAGGCTTCAGTTTCAGTTTTCAGCCTATTCTCAGTCCCTCTAAGTCTCCATCTAAGCTAAACCAGAGCCAGGCTTCTGTTGGCACAGATGATGAGCAAGAAGCGTCGCAGGAGGAAGAGCGAGATGGTCAGTACTTCGAGCCTGTTGTGCCAATGCCTGATCTTGTTGAGGTCTCAACAGGAGAGGAGAACGAGCAAGTCCTTTTCAGTCACCGGGCCAAATTATACCGCTATGATAAAGATCTCAGTCAGTGGAAGGAACGAGGTATAGGAGACCTTAGAATACTACAACACTTCGAAACAAAGCGTGTCAGACTCGTGATGAGACGGGACCAGGTCCTCAAACTGTGTGCAAACCATTGGATTGCTTCCAATATGAAGCTCGAGCCCATGAAAGGAGCCGAGAAAGCGTGGATCTGGAGTGCCTTTGATTTTGCTGAAGAGCAGGGCACGGTGGAACAGCTGGCGGTTCGATTTAAACTGCAGGAAACTGCAGATGCTTTCAAAGAAATCTTCGAAGAGGCGAGGACTGCACAGGAAAAAGACACTCTACTCGCCCCGTTTTCTGCGAGAGTACCTGCCTCCACCCAGGAGACGCTTTGTGGCCAGGCTGCAGTTGCTGTACTTGAGGAAACCACAAAAGAACGTACCGGACTCTCTGAGGAAGACAGTCCTAAACCGGATGGGACACCGGGGGCAAAGCTTGGCGCTCAAAGCAGCAAGAATGTGGTTTCTCCTCCTAAGTTTGTCTTTGGGTCAGACTCTGTGCAGAAGATCTTTGGAAGCCCTTCGCCATCAAAAGAAAAGTCTCCGGTTGTGATTCCCAGTTCAGAAGATGAGGAAGTGGGTGCCTCGAGACTGAAAACCTCTGGACCAGCAGTGACCAGCCAGTCATCGGTTGGAACTCCTTTCAGCATACCAACAAGAAGTAAGCTATGTTCTGAGACCCACAGTTATGAATAAAACTGTACCTGTTTGTTTAGCTTGAGTGCTGTCCAACCGTGCTCCAAACACACCTGCCTGCAGTTTTCAAGTAGTCCTAAAGATTATGATTAGCTGCTTCAGGTGTGTTCAACCAAGGTTGGAGCTAAGTGCATCTCTGCTTTAGGTTGTAGTTGGTTTATATTTACTTTTTTAATGAGAACGTTCTTCATGTTCTTATTGTGCCGTTTGTTGACGCATGTTTTTCCCAAGGAAGTATTTCTGTCCTATATAGACTGATATTCATCCACTCTGATCCTGAGATGGATTAAAGTCCTTCAACAAAATGATAAAAAAAACTTTAACACACAACATTATTTTTTAGGTTTGGATTTTAGGCTTTTCAGACATAATCCTATGGCTTTTTGGACCTGCGCATCAGCCACCCAGTTTGAAGCCCAAGGTATTTGAGGTCACCGTTTACTGTGGCACATGGAGCTCTCACTGACTGGCATGAGCCGGGAGACCTGACCTTGGCTGAATGATGTGATAACCCAACATTACTCAGACGTGTGCATGGTCTGAAATCTGCTAACCTTTAGCCGTTTGTTTGAAACTTCAGTACAGTTTACAATTAAGGTGCACCAGTGGCTTCAAAGTCCTTCAAGCATTCAGCAGTGAGTGTCTTGTGAAGTGATTTCCCATCTTTAAATGTGGCACCAGCAGGTGTCATTGCAGGAATTTGCCCTTTCAAGTATTTCTGTCTCTATTTATAGAGTATTTTTGGCTCTCAGCAACCCTCTACGTACACCTTGGCAATATAATAGCCATTGGCTAGTAATTTTTTTTGTTTACTCGCCAGACTGATATACTATTTTACACACACACACACACACGCACACATAGTACATATATATGTATGATTCCACCTCCACTGACCGCCAGTTATTTTTAGGAGGTTTGCATTAAGTAGTAATGTAATAAGACAGTGATATTTAAAGGCCAAATTCAGTATACACCTTATTGATTATGCATACTTTGCACAGGCAAGCAGATGAACCCAGAATATAAACGCGATGTGCAAAGTTTAATATTAAATGTTTTCCCATAGAACACCATTATAAAGAAGACACTTAACTATTTAGCGCATTGCGTTCATATTCCGGGCTCATTTGCTTGCCTGCATAAAGCATGCATCATCAATAAGGTGTGTACTAATTTCATCTTTTAATATCACTGTTTTAAAGGCACTTTAAGTGTTATCACATTAAACGTTTTAGAATTTCCCGCTGTTTTTAGTGATTTAAATATTGCGACAGGTGCTTTATATAGATTGCTAATGGCCAAAGCTTACATATTGTTCTCATATCTTGGTTTTATTCTTTTGAGAGGTAATCTAAATACTTTTGGATTAGAACAGATAGAAAATCGACAGGCTTGTGCTGCAGCTCTATGGGTGTTTTGACAAATAGAGCTATTTTTGCCGACAGACCAACTAATAATATGATACCTGTACAGAGTTCAGTTTTTATGTGGTTACTCTGTACTGTCTTAATCACAGGTTTTCTTGAGCTAAATGATAGGGTTGCATTATTTCTCTCACCAATATTAATTTTGATTTATAGAATTCTACAGAGACAGAAATCAGACTCTATAAACATTATCACAAATCATAATTGTCAGTTTCGCTTAAGATAGTAGTTGCAATTTAATCATGTAGATTAATCGAATTTACAATAAAATACTTAATATTGTGTGAGTAAACTTCAAATTCTTCTAATTTCGGAGTTTTAATTGTTATATGTATCAGTACATGACGTGCTATTAATGTAAAGTAACGTTGAGATTATTAGCACTGTCAGTCATGGTAATTTCAGGAGTAACTGAAAATAAACATAAATGATTATTCCCCCCCCCCCCCCCATCCTTAACTCCATTGTAAAGGCTTTATTTGGTGCCTTAGGACGTAAGTTATAATCTTACATAAGTGTGTGTGCTTCTGCAGTTGTTCTGCTGTGTCACTTAACCAGTGCATACTTAAATACGGTTTCTATACCATAAATACTATAATTATATTCCATTACTTCCTTTGGAATAACGGGGAAGGCCGTAAAAAGAGAGATCCCAGTGAATCCCAGCACGCATCACATGATCTCTGCTTATTGTACGCAAATTCTACATAGGCTACCTTATTATTCAAAGTGTTGAGATTTTTAGAATACATATTAGCTTGTTTTCCATCTGCCAGTTAAGATTTACAACAAAAATTAGAGCCGAATTTTGCATTGGTCTGAACAAACAGGCAGACGGGCTGAATGAGAATGTACCTCCACTGTCTGACAGCAGGTGGCGCTGATGGAGCAGCAGAAATAGAGCGGTTTCCCCGGTAACCGCTGTAAACAAGAAGAAAATGCCATCGAAACTCTTCTGAAGACAGTCTTTCATATAATTTCCCTCAGCAGTCTGCCTTCATTCATGTTTTCACACAAATCTACTCTGCGTGTTGCGCCTGCATGAGACAGTTAATTTAGCTTAATGCTGAGCAGGATTTATCACGAGGTTTTACACATTTATAAATTATTCCTTATTAAAGACTATTCAGTCAAGAGCAGAGTGATTTTTCTTTTGTTCTTTAATTAATATTAATGACACAGACAGCAAGCTGCTCTCACTTTCAGACCGAATGTAGGAATCTGACACACACACACACACATATCAGATTTTCTCAGTTTACGTTCATTTAAAACTTTTGTTTAACTTAGTTAAGACTGTGCTCACGAGGACACTTGCCAAAACGGGCATTTTGACGTAATGTTGTGTGTATTTGGTCGTTCGAGCGTGATAAGACGAAAAGTGCACTCAGTTCTGTGATGGTGCGCTGTCAGAGTGCGCGCACAGAAAACAGCGCTCGAGTGCCAAATTTAGTTCGCGATTTTTATTTTTTTGGCAACGGTTTAAAATCTTTTGAATGCTTAAATTGGCAAAACTTAAAAACACATGCATATGATAAACTTTCGTGACGGGTCAAAAATAAAGCATTAAGCTGAACTGCGCCACTGGTGGTGAATGACCGCTGCAGATGCTTCATCACAGTCTGAGTGTCTGCATGTGTGTGTGTCATGTAGAGTTACTGATTTAACGTTGGGTGTGAAGTGTGTACTTTTGTCTGTCTGCCACATGCTTTGACACTTGTTGGTTTCTGATTGCTTCTGAAAACTCCACTCAAACGAGGTGAGCGCTTCAAGAGATCGTTCATCCAAACATGAAAACTCAGTCTCGTCCTTCCAAACCTGTATGACTTCCTTCTGCGGGACACAAAATCAGAGATCATATTTCCAGGACAGTATAAAGTCAATGGCACCAGTGTTGTTGAGACTCCAGTGACTTTGAAAATCCTGTGTTTTGTCAGACGTGCAGCTTTAGAATCGCATGAGAGTGAGTCAGTGACAGCAGTTTTCATGTTGGGATGAACTATCCGTTTAGCAGTTGTTGCTATTGCATTAGTTAATCTAGTTTCTGTTTGTGTGTTGCTCAGTTTCCTCTCCGTCAGAGCAGAAGAGCGCTCCGGACGAGTGTGATGATGATGATGATGATGATGATGATGTTGAGATGGTATTTGAGCTGGAGCCCACGAGAGAGCAAGCAGAGCTGGCAGCCAGACTGATGCTTCCTCATACCTTCTTCTGTTATAAAAACCGTCCAGGATACGTCAGCGACGATGACCGCGATGGTGAGATCTACACTCTGTTTACATAGAGTCTGGTTTCTGTCACCTGTGACGGTACAACAAATGACCAAATCCAGATTAGTTTATCAGAGCTGCTTCTTCTAAAGCTTTAACAGTGTTCAGGGCCCCTTCTGGCTGGCTTTCTTCAGATTTTGGTAGCCTGAAATCAATTTGAACTAACCTGAATAAAAACACATCGACTGAACATCGGCAAATCAGCATGATCAAAAACCTCAGTGATTGTACTTTTTCTTCAAATAAGTCAGGAGAGTAGGTGTGCAACGGATCACAGCTCAGGGTTCGGGTCGTATTACGGGTTGAGAGATCAGATCCTGCGTGTACATTAATGAGGAAAAAAAAAATTTACTTAAATGATTTTAGCAAATGGCTGCAATATAACAAAGAGTGAAAAATTTAAGGGGGTCTGAATACTTTCCGTACCCACTGTATATATATATATAATTATTATTATTAAAAACATTATTTAAAGAACACATCTTCGAAACTACAGCAAGAACTCATAGCATAACTAATAAAGGTCAAACATTTTTAAAGACAAGTGAACTGTCAGTAATAAAATAAGAACAAATTACAAGTGTAAATAAATACAGTATAGTGAAGTAAATACAACATGGTGCAGTATAATAAAGTTAGAAATAAAATAAGATCTAACAGTAGTATTGAGGTACAGAAATGTGATGCACGGATCCAATGTAACGATACACGTCTGATTTCTTTCTTCACTCTTTATGTTCACGTAAAGCATAACCGACTGCGTTTACCAGAATGCTGAATGAGACGGGTATTTTGAAATCATTTTTGTGTATTTGTCCGTTCAAGAGCGAGGAGATGCGAAAGAGGAATTAATTCTGCGGAATACGGAGTTGAACTCTTTCGCCTCTTCATGTGCTTGAATGCTTTAAAACACTTGAATGTTTACAATGGAAACACGTGCGAGTGATCAACTATGAACAAGCGAGTGCACAATGCAAATCAAGGAAGGGATTTGACTTCACTATTGAAGAAAGCCCGTCGGGGGGGCAGGGCCGGGCTTGTGACGTCAGGCTAGTGGATTTTTTGCGAGCCCTGGTATTCACATGTTCTGACTCGAGCGGTCTCGGTCTCTGCGAGAAATGATTCACATCAGATGCACTCGGTGTGTTTTCAGATGAGGATTTTGAGAGCGCAGTGAGGAGTCTGAAGGGGAAGCTGTGTGCGGATGGAGCCGATGGAGCGTCTGATCACGGTAGGCTGGTCTTGTGAAATGCATTACTGGGACTAGTGGAGTCATCAGGGCTCAGCGGCGAGGGCCGGTGTAGGAGTTGGTGGATGTGCGTCGTGGTGTGAGGTATAGTGATGGAGATGCTTGTGTCTACAGACTCGGAGGTCAGTCTGGTGTGGGAGAAGCTTCCGACTGCAGACGAGGAGCAGCGAGCCAGACGCCTCCTGCTGTCTCCCACCGTCCTGTGCAGTGTCAGCAGCGACTCCGAGCCGGAGGCAGAGAAACCAGACGACTTCAGCACTAAGCTGCAGCAGACGCAGGTGACGAGTGTTTCTGATCTTCACATCGCTGTGAGCACAGCACCCGCTCTGGACACACAGGTGAAGCCCGAGCCTTCCCATGATGCAGCAGCTGTGGACACAAGCAGCGGCGGAGCAGAAGAGCGTCAGACTGACGGCAGCCGTCCCATCGACCTCTCCACCAAGAGAAGCAGTGAGAGCGACAGCACCGCTACAGGTGAGTGCCAGTCAAACCTTAACAAGCTTCTCTCAAAGCAGTCTGACTCCTAATATTAACTCCAGTAATCATGTGAAACGTTTGCTTTGTGGCTGCTGAATAAATGCACTTCTGCATCCTCTGTGCTACGAGATCCATGTCTGGATGTACTACACTTCATGAAGGCAGGTGTAGTAGCAGTAAACAGCACAAGCAGCTTCGTGAAAGAAAACACCGGCTGAGTCTCAAAGAGAGCTGAAGTTAAACTCGCTGGTTGCCGGTGTTTTCAGCAGCTTTTTTGTGGTGTAGAGAGAGCACATGCGAGTGGTTGCCAGGTTGGGAAGATTAAATAAACCACTGTGCAGAAAATGTATTGATTTAACCCTCCGGTGTTGTTCGGTCATTTTAGACCAGAAAAAAAAAAGTTTTGAAATTGTAAAAATCGCTACTTCATCAGAATGGTACAAAACTCACTGACTTTTATCGCAGTCACTGTGACCATAAAAAATCTTGGACTTGATTCGAAAAAGCTAAATGGTCATAAAAAAATAGTCACACTTGTGTTGTTCGCAGTCAAAAATGAGCGCCATTCGAAATGAATGGGAAATACGGAAAAGTACAAAAATACAGAGAATCTTTTTGTGTACAATCTACAAATCATTCACGATGCAGAAGAAGAGTGCACAGCAATGAAGGGGTGACACTCTAAAATATCAAGAGTGCAAAACAGACACACACACTCAAACACACACATATGAACTAGTGTGACTGTAACACATAGCATGTTTTTGCAAATACCTGAAATAAAATCAATAATTTAGCTATAATGGAGTAAAAACACGGACACCAAGGAAGGGGTGACACTCTAAAACTTCAAGATTACAAAACAGACACACACACACACACACACACACACTATTATACACACACAAATGAACTGGTGTGGCTGTAACAATATGGCAACATTGAGCCAGAAGACTCAAATAAGAGGTTGAAATCAGATTAACCTCTGATAAAACATTCCTGTTCATATTTGTTACATTTTTGTTGAACTTTGATGTTATGTGTAATAAAATGCCTTTCTTTGTGTTCAGGTCTGACTGTAGTAAAATTAATACAAAAACTGACACTTCAAACTAAAAAATCTAAACCTTTACAAAAAGCATTCTCTTTGAGAATGTCTAAATATAAATCCAAATCCACAAAAAAAAGTATTTGTCTAAAAACAACTAGAGAATTGATAAGCCTTTTATATAGAGCTCTATAGGAATCTAGTGGCTGAACCACGGGATTTCAGATGTTTTTCTTCTTTACTCTCACCAGATGGAACTAATCTGCCTTCAAAAATGGGATTTTAAAGGCATTGTCTCTATTTTAACATGAAATATTGCCATAATTGAAAAGTAATAGAAAAATATATATTTTCAATGGGAAAAATTGATCATAATTATTGCATAAATATTAAATCGTGCCATTAAATTCTCTCAAAATAAAAAATCATATCGAACAAAAATGTATTACATTGATTTCACTTAAAATAAAAAAATAAGTTATATTTCAGGCGTGTGCAACAACACAAGTGTGACTCCCAAATGAACAAAAGCAGAGGGTTAAGAGAAAAGCTCTGATTTAAACTCTTGAAATCTGGCACCTGCAACCGCTTACAGAGGCTTTTTACCAAAGCTAGATAATGGCAATGTCAAACCAAAAAAATATTTTCAGGAGAAATAACCAGCGGGCAAATGTTGTGACTATATTTTAATTAACTGTGAGGTGCAGAAATCATGCAGCCCTATATTTTAATCACAAGCAGATGGTTTTCATGCTAATAAGAGGAGCAATGTGAAGATGTTAAATAGCGACTAGTTTTGCAGCAAAGCTCCTCTGGCTGTGTGTAGTGTAACGACCTCTTGCTCTTGCTGCATGAAGGCGTTTGTCTTGGGTTGTAAGAGTGCTCTCTTGTGTCTCACAGGGCAGTGTTGTGTTACTGTTATGCATGAAGAGCCTCTGAAAGATTAGCACACTAAAGTAACCACACCAAATAAAGAATATTGGTATTGTTATAAAGCACAGAACGGCACTGAAACCCTCAACAGGGGAGACATTTCAGTTACTTTTCAACACATGAGTGTCTGTAAGCCCTTTACGGAGAGGACAGGACAGAAGCGTATGAGCTGTGAGTTAGTCACGTCACGCACTAAACAGCAAACGATGATTGAGCGCTTGTTTGAATGAGTGTGTTTGCTTTCCTCCAGTAGGTCTCTCTTTTGGATTTGAATCTGCGGGTGAGGTTTCATTTGCAGAACTGGCAAAGGGTTCAGGTGAATTTGCATTTTGCAAAAGAGGTGAGTCTGTGTTTACCTGTTTCTATGTCTTTTACTTGATTCTCGTATTAAACCGTGCAGTCACATTCACAGGGCTTTCTACAGAGTTCTCTTGTAAGGCTGAAAAAAAAACATTACATGGAAATGTTATTATAGAGTCGGCATGTCTTCATGAAAGATTTGGACCAGAGCACGAGAGAGGAAAGGGTTTTTAGGGTTGTCTTGCTGGTGTGATCTCACTGCTGCTCTCATCAATGCCAGGCACACTAAATTATAAATTACATTGTGTTCTGAAGATGTTTGGTGAAAACAAACCACAGTGACACACATACGGCACTTCATTTATTCTGTGCTTAAGCAGAAAACGCTGGTTGTCATATGAGGTGAAAGTCTAATAGGTGTGTTCTGGTAACAATGTTTGCACTGCATACTGTTATTTGTATTCTAATCTAATTTCATCTTTGTTTGGCTTCTGAAAATGCTGTCCTAAAGCAGATCATAAGATCTTTTTTGTTTTTAAAGACATATGCATAGCATCAGTTTTGGGGGGAAAAAATCACAAATTCCATGAAAAGTGAATGATGAACAGTTTCCATGAAGACTCACTCATTTCTGCATTTCATAATGTATTTCCTGTTTTCTCTGATGTTATGTTAGCGCTCAGCCCTGTTGTCTAAACCTTGTGACCAAGCTCACGTCTCATCCCGTAAACAAGCCGTTCATAATGTTTGTTTTTTGCATGTGTGTGTGTGTGTGTGTGTGTGTGTGTGTTCGTTGGCAGCATTAATATGAATCGGTATTATGAAGTTCTAGTATGATAGAATACTGCTGCTGTCAGCATTGATATTGTGAGTGCTGTTTTCATCATGTGTTTATTTCTGCAGATGATGATTTCTCATGGTCAGGCGCAGGAGCCACAGTCTTTGGAAGTACAGGGACACAAAAGGAAGGAGAAAAAACAAGCCATGAAGCAGAAGAGGAGGGCTGTGATGAAGAGACGACTCATAATGAGGAGGTCCACTTTGAGCCGATCGTGTCCCTGCCTGAGGTGAGTGTTTGCTGTGATGCTGGTAGCTGTGCTCCTCGTGTCTCTGGAGAAGTGTGACGTGTGCTGATCCTGCAGGTGGAGGTGAGGTCTGGTGAGGAGGACGAGGAGATCCTGTTCAGAGAAAGAGCCAAACTGTACCGCTGGGACCGCGAGCTCAACCAGTGGAAGGAGCGCGGCGTGGGAGACCTCAAGATCCTCTTCCACCCGCTGAAGAAGAGCTACCGCCTGCTGATGAGCCGCGAGCAGGTGCTCAGAGTCTGCGCCAACCACAGCATCAGCCCGAGCATCGAGCTCAAGCCCATGAACACCTCGGCTAACTCTCTGGTGTGGACCGCCACAGACCACTCAGGTGCAGCCCTCGCTCCTCGCCTCACACACATCACCCTGCTGCCGCTGTCCTCACGTCTGTATGTTTGTCCACACAGAGGGAGACGGGAAAGTCGAGCAGCTGGCGGCCAAGTTCAAGACTCCAGAGCTGGCGGAGTCCTTCACACGAGCCTTCACAGACTGCCAGAGCCGCATGTGTCAGACTGACGCTGCTCAGACGTCTGCCGCCGAGGCGCTGTCTCGAGGCTCCAACCCTGTGGTGTTCTTCGACATCGCCGTAGATGACGAGCATGCTGGGAGAGTCGTCATGGAGCTCTTCGCTCACATCCTGCCCAGAACGGCGGAGAACTTCCGGGCTCTGTGTACGGGAGAGATGGGCTTCAGTTACCGCCAGTCCGTCTTCCACAGGATCATCCCGGACTTCGTGTGTCAGGTGAGGACACCGTCATTATGTAAAACTAGGGGTGCGATTATAAATCGATTCTGAGCTTAGTTTTTAACAGCAGATGGCGCTGCGTGCTTTAGAAACAGCTGTGCTTTGCTTGCTTCCAGTTCCTTACACATGCACCATTTAAACCTAAAATAATCATTCGAAAAGGTTGAATCAAATTACAGGGGTGTAATAAAGCGCATAAGATGCATAAAATGCAAGTGATTAAGTTGGGTGTTGCTATGACAAGGTTACTTAATCTTGCATTTATTTGTTTGAGCAACAGTTTATCTTTCCATAAGATCATTTGTTATTAACTGACATCTGATGTAAATTAGAAAATGATAATATGTAACAATGCCAAGGTCTCTGGAGGAGGTTTGGATAAGTGATATTTGCGTTCTCTGCGATCGAGTGAGCAGTCCGGTAGCGGTGACTTCTTCCACTGGTTGTGCTGGTAACAATGCATTGGGAAAAGAAGCAGGAATCTGTTTCGACAGCTTTGAACATGAAGTGCTGTAGGATGCTGATCTCCTGGAGCACCAAAGGGTCCTAAAATCTGGAACATGCAGATGTGGTCCTGGAGTAGGTGTAGAAGGTCCTTAGTCTGGAAAAAGCAGACGAAAGTAGCTTGAAGTGAAGGTTTGCTCGCCGGAGCTTAATCTTGTTGCAAATGTCTGCATGTTTTCTGCCTCTCTGGGCTAGAGACTCAGAACTCGGTCGATCCGCTTTGTCTCTCTAGGATGGAGACTGCATCTGTTGTTTCGCTGGATGAAGACTGAATGTAGAGTATCTCTTACCTCACGGACTGGAGACTCAGAACGTATCATATCTGTTATTACCTCCTACCACACAGGCCAGAGACTTGTACCCTTTCAACAGACACTCCTTGATCCCTTTATCTCTTTCTGATGAGGAGGAGATTGCAATTTGGCGCTTCTCCATTCTTCTCAAGGCGGTGTGGCCCACCCTTCTTTCCTCCCGTGGAGCTCACTGCCGTAGTCCAAACACATTTAGAGAAGTGTCACTAAAGTTCTACCAATGCATTATTCACTTACCAAACCACAACCAGAATACATTTGGCAATGTTCCAAACATGGAGGAAAAAGATCGAACTGTCATGCATGCATTCATTTGTCCTTTAACAGCTGAATTTGTGTACAATTTTGCACTACACTTAGCTGCGGTTGAGAATTCTTATTCTTCTGAATAAGCATGAGATGGGTGTGTTGTAGTGTGCATCAGTTTTAAGGTTTGAAAACAGTTATGAATGGATTTAGATAGATCTCTGTGACTTCTCTGTTTCACCCACCGCTGCTGTATCTAAAGATTCCTAAGGAATATTTATGCTGGTCACAGACCAAACCTTAGGAATCAGTCTCTAGACGGGTGAAGGGCAGAAACTGCATGTGGACCAATGAGAAGTCCTTTCCTTCCCGGGCTTGGTACCAGAGGTCTTGTCCTCTAAGAGGTTTCTGCCTGTTGTCCTAGCATCTTTATCTGATGGCGTTGGACGGTTTGCTTATGTTAGTCCACCAAGATCCAATCAAAGTGTTGCAAACCTGTGTCCACTGCTGTGGTGAGAGAGGGGCCCCGGCCTAAAACTGGGCCCTGGAATGTGCTGTCCACTACAATGCCTTCATCATCCAGAAGCTGCCTACACACTCTGGCCACATGAGGCTGGGTGTTGTCCTGCACCAGGAGGAACCCAGGACCACTGCACCAGCGTAAGGTCTGAGGATTTCATCCCGGTACCTAACAGCAGTAAGGGAACCACTGCAGGTCTGTGCAACCCTCCCCAGACCATCACTGACCCACTGCCAAACCGCTCATGCTGGATGATGTTGCATAACATTCCCCACAGCATCTCCAGACCCTTCCACAGACCTGGTGTTCTCTGGCAAATGCCAGTCAAGCTGCACAGTGCTGGACTGTGAGCACAGGTCCCACTACAGGACATCTGGCCCTCATGCCACCCTCGTGAAGTCTGTTTCTGACAGTTGGGTCGGACACATGCACACCAGTCGCCTGCTGGAGGTTGTTTTGTAGGGCTCTGGCAGTGCTCCTCCTACTCCTGCTTAAACAAAGGAGCAGATTCTGCCCATCTCCCACTCCACTCCAAACCTCCTTGCGGCAGCACATATTGCCAAGTTCACGCTACAGGATTTTAAGCCCGATGTGCAAGTTAACGAGCTCGCCGAGGTCGGGCTGTGATCGGGGGAAAATCAGCAGGTGATCAGCGCTTGGCAATCTTTGTGTGTTGAACTACTCAACGACGCACCAAAGAGGCTCGCTGACAACATTGGCCAAATAAATATCTAGCATGCTAAATATCTGGACCCAGAGGTCTTGTCCTCTAAGAGGTTTCTGCCTGTTGTCCTAGCATCTTTATCTGATGGCGTTGGACGGTTTGCTTATGTTAGTCCACCAAGATCCAATCAAAGTGTTGCAAACCTGTGTCCACTGCTGTGGTGAGAGAGGGGCCCCGGCCTAAAACTGGGCCCTGGAATGTGCTGTCCACTACAATGCCTTCATCATCCAGAAGCTGCCTACACACTCTGGCCACATGAGGCTGGGTGTTGTCCTGCACCAGGAGGAACCCAGGACCACTGCACCAGCGTAAGGTCTGAGGATTTCATCCCGGTACCTAACAGCAGTAAGGGAACCACTGCAGGTCTGTGCAACCCTCCCCAGACCATCACTGACCCACTGCCAAACCGCTCATGCTGGATGATGTTGCATAACATTCCCCACAGCATCTCCAGACCCTTCCACAGACCTGGTGTTCTCTGGCAAATGCCAGTCAAGCTGCACAGTGCTGGACTGTGAGCACAGGTCCCACTACAGGACATCTGGCCCTCATGCCACCCTCGTGAAGTCTGTTTCTGACAGTTGGGTCGGACACATGCACACCAGTCGCCTGCTGGAGGTTGTTTTGTAGGGCTCTGGCAGTGCTCCTCCTACTCCTGCTTAAACAAAGGAGCAGATTCTGCCCATCTCCCACTCCACTCCAAACCTCCTTGCGGCAGCACATATTGCCAAGTTCACGCTACAGGATTTTAAGCCCGATGTGCAAGTTAACGAGCTCGCCGACAGGTCGGGCTGTGATCGGGGGAAAATCAGCAGGTGATCAGCGCTTGGCAATCTTTGTGTGTTGAACTACTCAACGACGCACCAAAGAGGCTCGCTGACAACATTGGCCAAATAAATATCTAGCATGCTAAATATCTGGACCGGTCGGCCGGCCGACTCGACATCACGTGGTGTCAGGTGTCTCTACGAGCTACAGCCAATGAGAGCAAGACATGGGTTGAGGTTAGCGGAAGAAAAACAGCAGCAGCAACACGGCTTTAAGACAAGTTTGGAAAAGAAATGGAGCTAATTTTTTCAGAACAGATCATCACGCAAACAGCTTGCAGCACTAATTTCTTCCCGATGTCCATTTTTAAATAAACCACTCCTGTTCCACTTGTTGTTTCGCGTCATTCCCTTTCAACTTCTGGCGTGTGTTTTCGTGACAAAGCGTGGTTTGGGGACGGGATCGAGTCGTTGTGTGACAGAGTTGTTGTCAGCTTGTGTAGCTGAAGTTTGAAGTTTAACTGAATTGGTGTTATACTGTGATTGTGTTCCCTTCATTTTTATGAGCAGTTTATTAACAAGAGTGTAGTAGTATCTCAATGAAAGTAAAAGATCTGCTACTGTTACTGAACCTCTGAAGCCAGACAGGTCAGTATTGAACATTATGAACTAAACAAATCAAACACTAGATACAAACAGCTGTTCATGGTGACGGCCTGAAATATCTAGAGTGTTTCTGCTTCTAGCTTTGGTTTCTGATGGCTATTTAATAACTCCTGCTGTCTCTCAGGGCGGTGATATCACCAGCCAGGATGGGACGGGAGGGAAGTCCATCTACGGAGCGAAGTTTGAGGACGAGAGCTTCGAGGTGAGGCACACGGGGCCGGGGCTGCTGTCCATGGCCAACCACGGCAGAGACACCAACAACTCACAGTTCTTCACCACCCTCAAGAAAGCAGAGCACTTTGACTTCAAGCACGTGGCCTTCGGATTCGTCAAAGACGGCATGGATGTGGTGAGGAGAATCGGAGAGCTGGGCGCTAAAGACGGGAAACCCACGGAAACCATCACCATCTCGGACTGTGGGCAGATTCTTTAAGCTGTTCTACACAAACTACTGTTCATCATGTTCGAGACCGTGTTCCCTGAACTCTTGTGTAAATCAGAACTTGTATACGCAGTGGTTTTATTCTTGTCCTGTTTGTATGTTAATAAAGTGGACAGCACTAGTTGACAATAAAATTCATGCTTTGCAAAAGAAGAAAAACTATTTTATTACAGAACTTGTTTACCCCAGTGTCCTCATGTTTACAGGGGCTTAACTGGACAGAATGTGAATCTTTCGAAGGCTTGCTTTGTGTGTATTTGGTTGGAAGGTCGCTTCACTGGCATGAGGTCCCACACAAACGCAGCCATGTTGCTTGCAATTTTCAATCTCCTGAACATAAAATAAACATCTGGCAACTTGAGTTTCACTACTTATTCAAAGTGTGTCATTATTGATGAGAAACTGTGAATGCGGTCAAATGCTTCTGGATCAAGTGAAAGCAAAGCTGCTTTATTTCTCCTTTAGTTTTGACAACTGTTTCAGGATTTAAAGGGATAGTTCACCCAAAAAGTATGATTTCGCTTCTGGATCAAGTGAAAGCAAAGCTGCTTTATTTCTCCTTTAGTTTTGACAACTGTTTCAGGAAAACGGGAAATTTAAAGGGATAGTTCACCCAAAAAGTATGATTTAATCGATTTACTCACCCTCAGGGCATCCTAGGTATATAAGACTTTCTTCTTTCAGACGAATACAATTGGAGTTATATTCAAAAAAGTCCTGGCTCTTATAATGGCAGTGAATGGGGGTCGAGATTTTGAAGCCCAAAAAAGTGCTCCACATGACTCCGGGGATTAATAAAGGCCTTCTGAAGTGAATTGATCCATTTGTGTAAGAAGAATATCCATATTTAAACCTTTACACCATAATCTCTAGCGTCTGCGTTCATGAGAGAGTGCTTTCCAGTGGATTGATGGATGGATTCACTTGTTTGTGCTTCAAATTCTTGACCCCATCCACTGCCACCATAAAGCTTGGAAGAGCCAGGACATGTTTAATATAACTCTGATTGGATTTGTCTGAAAGAAGATAGTCTCATATGGCTTGAGGGTGAGTAAATCAGGGGGTCATTTTCATTTTTGGGTGAACTGTCCCTCTGAGTAACCAGCAGTGAGTTCAGGAGTTATTATTCATTCATGTGCAGTAAATGCACTCTTTAGGGCTAGTTTTCAGCTCCACTTTTCTCTTTACTCTGTAGGTCTGACCTACAGCAAATTCATCTTGTTTTGATAAATAGAAATAACACACTAGGAGAGGAAACTGGGAGTTAAATCTGCCAAAGTAAACCCAGATTTTTGTGCTGAAGAGTAACATTTTGTGCATTTTTAGGGATGTGATTTTCCGTGTTTGCATATTTTCCAGCCAGGGTGTTTTGACTCTTTGAGCTGAGCGTAACCAGTGAGGGTTCATCTCTTGCGTCAAGCAGCACGTTTGAGCTTCAGTTTCGTTTCGTTTCATGAAACTGAAGCTGTCATGAGCTCTATGTTGATCAATGTGTTTATATGCGAATAAAAGCTCAAGTTAACTCCGTTCATATAGTGATCAAACAGTTTATAAAGACATTGCAAAAGTGCCCAGGTCTTCTGAATGAAGTTGAATGTTTTATGAGTTTAAATGACATGAGAGCGAGTAAATAAGAGAATGATCACGTATAAGCTGAGGGAAATAATCAGCACTGTAATACCTTCACAAGTCATCAGTATGATATCCAGTGAAGCATTAACCAGTGCAGTCACTCTCTTACTAGTGAACAAAAATCTAATTGTTAAACATTTTGTGATTTTCCAACTGACTGAACAACCAAGCATGAAATATAATCCAACAGAGCTCAAGTGAGAAATTAAACCGCACAACAAAACACTGTACTTTATTCATGAACCGTTGTATGATTAAACTACAATAGAAATCTCTGTAGTGCTGCAGTGTTCAGCAGATCTCACACACCACAGGAACAGCATCTGATCAAACACACGAGAGTCAGTAGTGCTCCACGTGACGACGGCTGCTTATAGCTCAAAAACTCACCACACGGTTACTTCACAGAGAAGCAGCTTGAGAGTTAATGAAATACACTATAATGCACTTACAAACAGTTCCCTCTGTCTTTAGCAAAGAGAAGAGCAGGGCCTGTATGTATAAAACCTGAGAGTAAAACAGTCTTCAGAGCGACGTGAAGCAGCTAAAGGTGACCTTCAACAGAATGACAATCCTCATCACCATCATGACTTTCCTTCATCAGATGAACACAAACTGACTAGAAATCAATGTCTTCTGAAGTGGAGTGTGAGTGTGTGTGAGCGTGAGCGTGAGCGTGAGTGAGTGAGCGTGTGTGTATGAGCGTGAGCGTGAGTGTGTGTGTGTGTGAGTGTGAGCGTGTGTGTGTGTGTGAGTGTGAGCGTGTGTGTGTGTGTGAGTGTGAGCGTGTGTGTGTGTGTGAGTGTGAGCGTGTGTGTGTGTGTGAGTGTGAGCGTGTGTGTGTGTGTGAGTGTGAGCGTGTGTGTGTGTGTGAGTGTGAGCGTGTGTGTGTGTGTGAGTGTGAGCGTGTGTGTGTGTGTGAGTGTGAGCGTGTGTGTGTGTGTGAGTGTGAGCGTGTGTGTGTGTGTGAGTGTGAGCGTGTGTGTGTGTGTGAGTGTGAGCGTGTGTGTGTGTGTGAGTGTGAGCGTGTGTGTGTGTGTGAGTGTGAGCGTGTGTGTGTGTGTGAGTGTGAGCGTGTGTGTGTGTGTGAGTGTGAGCGTGTGTGTGTGTGTGAGTGTGAGCGTGTGTGTGTGTGTGAGTGTGAGCGTGTGTGTGTGTGTGAGTGTGAGCGTGTGTGTGTGTGTGAGTGTGAGCGTGTGTGTGTGTGTGAGTGTGAGCGTGTGTGTGTGTGTGAGTGTGAGCGTGTGTGTGTGTGTGAGTGTGAGCGTGTGTGTGTGTGTGAGTGTGAGCGTGTGTGTGTGTGTGAGTGTGAGCGTGTGTGTGTGTGTGAGTGTGAGCGTGTGTGTGTGTGTGAGTGTGAGCGTGTGTGTGTGTGTGAGTGTGAGCGTGTGTGTGTGTGTGAGTGTGAGCGTGTGTGTGTGTGTGAGTGTGAGCGTGTGTGTGTGTGTGAGTGTGAGCGTGTGTGTGTGTGTGAGTGTGAGCGTGTGTGTGTGTGTGAGTGTGAGCGTGTGTGTGTGTGTGAGTGTGAGCGTGTGTGTGTGTGTGAGTGTGAGCGTGTGTGTGTGTGTGAGTGTGAGCGTGTGTGTGTGTGTGAGTGTGAGCGTGTGTGTGTGTGTGAGTGTGAGCGTGTGTGTGTGTGTGAGTGTGAGCGTGTGTGTGTGTGTGAGTGTGAGCGTGTGTGTGTGTGTGAGTGTGAGCGTGTGTGTGTGTGTGAGTGTGAGCGTGTGTGTGTGTGTGAGTGTGAGCGTGTGTGTGTGTGTGAGTGTGAGCGTGTGTGTGTGTGTGAGTGTGAGCGTGTGTGTGTGTGTGAGTGTGTGTGTGAGCGTGAGTGTGTGAGTGTGAGTGAGCATGTGAGTGAGAGTGTGTGTGTGTGTGTGTGTGTGTGTGTGAGCGTGAGTGAGTGAGCGTGTGTGTGTGAGCGTGTGTGTGAGTGAGTGAGTGAGCGAGTGAGCGTGTGAGTGAGCGAGTGTGTGTGTGTGTGAGTGTGTGTGTGAGTGAGTGAGAGTGAGTGAGTGAGTGAGTGTGAGTGAGTGAGTGTGAGTGTGAGAGTGTGTGTGTGTGAGCGTGAGTGTGTGTGAGCGTGAGCGTGTGTGTGAGTGTGTGTGTGAGCGTGAGTGTGCGCGTGTGTGTGTGAGCGTGAGTGTGTGTGAGTGTGAGCGTGTGTGTGTGAGTGTGAGCGTGAGTGTGTGTGTGAGCGTGAGCGTGTGAGTGTGAGCGTGAGTGTGTGTGTGAGCGTGAGTGAGTGAGCGTGTGTGTGTGAGCGTGTGTGTGAGTGAGTGAGTGAGCGAGTGAGCGTGTGAGTGAGCGAGTGTGTGTGTGTGTGTGTGAGTG